GGACACACGCACACACGCACACACATGCACACAGCCGTGCACACACACACACACACGCTCTGTCCTGCCTCTCCGCCATACAGACTCACACACGGACACAGACACATGCACACATACACATACAGACGCACACACAGGACACAGGCACACACGGACAAGCACACACACATGCACACAGGACCCCCCCCACATACACACATGCACACGCAGCCTCCAGGGACACACGGAGCCCGGGTGACGTGTGCGGCACGAGAGCCCCGAGCTCCAGCGTGGACGGCAGAGGCCTCCTCTCCTGTGCTCGGAACACAGTGTGACATCTCGCACACAGTGTGACATCTCGCGTCTCTGCCGACACGGACTGGATGGAGGTGCATGTGCCCAGAAAGGCCGCGAGGTCTCCCCCCGCAGGATGTCGGGCAAGTGACAGCAGAATAAAATACTTTAATGTCTGCTCTGGGGACCCTGCGCCGTCCACCCTGGTGGCACTGAGCTGTCCTCGGTCCCTTCAGCGGCCCCTGGACACCGTCACCGCGAGTGTCTTAGAGCAGCCCCCTGGAGCCGGGCAGGCCCCGGGCTCTCTGGCCTTGGGGACGTGTCCCCAGCCCCCACACGGCAGGCGAGGCTGGTGGACGCTCAGCTCGGAGCCCAGATGTGCGAGGGCTCGGCTCCCCCGCGGCCTCCCGGGCTCTTCTGCCGCCGCCGTCGCCGGGGCTGGCCACCCTTGCTCAGGGGCCTGGAGTGGCCGCTCTGCAGCCGCCGCACCATCTCGTGGTCCTTGGGGTCCAGCACGCGGGGCAGGAACAGGGAGGACTTCTGCGTGCGGCGGGTCTTGAAGCCCCGGCGGGGCCGGCCCTTGCCGTTCACGGACACGTACCACAGTCTCTCGGCGCTGGGCGGCCGCCGCGTCCCCGGGCCCCCGGGCACCGAGCGGTACAGCCGGGAGGAGTAGGTGCTGTAGCCCAGCTCCTGGATCCGCTCCACGAACTCGCACTCGGCGCTGTAATGCTCCTGCGGGAGAGAGGCCACGTCAGGGACGCGGGAGGCCACGTCAGGACCACGGGAGGCCACGGAGGCCTGCTGCGGCTGGGGCTGGGGTGGGGGGACCACCCCTCACGACACCCGTGTGGGTCAGCCCGCGCCTTCGTCCAGCCTGTGCCCTCTGCTCCCATGTCCCCCCGCCCCCCTGGCCTGGTGAACATGGCCCTCAGGGCCGGGCTCCAGGTCACTTTCTCCACCAGGTCCTCTGAGCACCTCTGGGGGCTTGCACGCCCCGCCTCTCCTCTCTGGGCCCTCCAGCCGCCACGCCCCACTGACGCACCCACGGTGGGGTGTCCCAGCTTAGGGACAGGCTKCGGGGCAGAGACGGGACCTTCCCATCCAGGGGCCCTTGGCGGCCTTGAGGTCAGCAGGGACTGGACAGCTGGACACAGAAGAGGGGGCACCCAGAGCTCTTTTGAAGAAATGGCGTAAAAGAACAAGAAGAGCTGGAGCGGCAGCAGGCCCTGTGGTGTCACCCCTGGGGGTGACAGGGGACCTGGCTCCACCACAAGACAGAAGGGAGAACCCAGCACGGGGGTGGGGGGGTGGCTGGTCTTCAGGAGCCGTCTCCACTAGGGGCGGGTTTGGGTCCCCGGCCCTGGCCCTCTGAGAGGCACAGTCCTGGGCACCGGGTGCCCCCYCACGGGTGCAACCCGCCTGGAACCTGGTCAGAGGGGTGTGCTCCGTGAGAACCTGGACGCGGCTGGTCCAGGGAGCAGCCAGCAGGCAGAGAGGAAGACACTGTCCTCTGAGGCCCCTGGGACCTGGGCCAGGCCCGGGAGGGACCGAGTCCTGCCTCCACAGCACAGGAGCCCCGCGGAAGAGGTGTCGCCGGGGCCGCGTGCCCTTCAGCAGCACCGCGCTRGCCAAGGGCACAGAGGCCTGGCCGCCGTCCCCAGCCTGCAAAGCCAAAAGGCACTTGAAGAGATGTCACCGGGGCTCCCGAGGCCCAGCCACAGGGACTGCTGCCGTGGGGCCTCCCTCTGTGGGGTGGACGCCGTGGGGGGCGGGCAGGCCTCAGAAGACCCACTGAGGCTTCAGGCTCAACCCCGGGGGACAAGGAGCACCTGCCTGGGGTCCACCACGCTGGGGACAGGGCAGGGCAGGCTGCAGGACCATTCCTAGGGAATGGCCAGAGAGCAGGAACAGGGCCCCAGGGGCCATYGCCCTCTGGGGTGTGGTGACCCCACACAAGTGGGAGGGGGAAGCTCTGGAGACAAGGAGACCCAGAGGACCCTGAGCCTGTTTTCAGGGTCACAGGCTGTGAGCCAGGTCCAGGAGTGGGCAGCATCTGACCAGGCAGTGACYGGGGCCAGAGATGCCAGGATCGGGGGTCAGGGGGACCAGGCAGGGGCCACCACACCCCATCACCCAAACCCTCCCTGCCCTCCTGCCCCCTGGGGATGCCCAGGACTTCCTGCGTCACCTCGTGGAGTGCCCTGCCCAGGGCCACCCCCCCCCCATTTGTAGTGAGGAAACGGAGGCCGGGTGGCATCAGGCCCAGGGGGATAGGGCATCGTCTGGCCTCTGCCCCACCCTGCACAGGTGCTCTCTGGGGACCCAGGGACTGGGGTCAGGGCAGTCCTGTCCCCCCCATGCTGTGCCAGCACCTGGTTCCCACACAGAGACCTGTGGGCCTCAGGGCCAGAGGCGCAGGCCCTCCCACGCACAGAGCACCTGCTGGCACCTGTGACACTAGGTAGCCAAAATGACCAGGGGCGGCCAGAGCCACAGACTTCAGACAGCCCAGCTGGGACTCGCTGGCAGCAGTGGCCAGGCCTGCTCTGGCCGCTGTCCCACCCAGGCCCTTCCCCAGAGCCATTGTACCATACGAAGTGGACTCCGAGACACCTGGCGGACAAGGCGTGGTTTGGAAGTGCCGGAGGGAGGGGGGTGTTGGAGGAGGGCGTGCCGGGAGGGTCAGCATGGGCAGGGGCACACCGGTGTGGAGAGCTGAGCCGGGGGCGCGGGAGCTGTAGGCCAGGGAGGGAGAGAAGGCAGGGCACTGCCCCTCCCGGGGTGGAGCCGGGTGCCCGGGGTTGATCTGTGGGTGATGTGGGTCCTGGAGGATCTTAGGGTGATCCCTCAGCAGGCACCTGGCAGAGTAGGTCATCTGGTGAGTGTCAAGGACACTGATGAACGATGCTGGATGGGTGGGTGGCCGGCTGGGTGGGGGAGGGAGGGTGAGTGGACGGAGAGAGAGGGTGGGTGGACATAGGCATGTGGGTATGGATGGCTGGGTGGGTGGCCGACTGGGTGACTGGGTGGTGGCTCCAGGGGAGAGCAATGGATGGACGGCGGGTGGACATGTTCGTGGAGGAGTAGGCAGAGGGTGGATGAATGAGTGGGTGGATATGTATGCCCGACAGGGTGGACGGGTGGGCGGGTGCACGCAGGCAGGTCTGGGTGGGTGGACAGGTGAGTAGATGGATGGGTGGATGATAGCTGGGGGGACAGACGGGTGAGTGGGAGGGTGGCTGGCTGGGCTGCAGGACAGGCAGGCTATAGGCCAGACACCTGGTCCCACGGATGCTGCCGCAGCCCAGGTAGGAAGGAACAGGCTGGTGTGCAGACGCTGTCCTCTGGGAGGAGCTAGAGGGGGTGGGCGTAGGCACTGGGGCTGAGGGGGGTTCCCAGCTGACTCCAGGCTGGATGAGTGGCTATGGGGCCATGGCTGAGGTCGGGCTCAGGGGCCTGCTGAGCTCCAGTGGGCTGTGCTGCCCTCTGCCTGGGGTCTCTGAGCTGCTCGGCTGTCCCAAGGAGGGTGGCAATCTCTAACTCAGAAGCTGGGTCAGGCACTGGGGATGTCAGGGTGCCATCCCATGGTCACCTGCCCAGGAAGTGGACGAGGTGGCCGGTGGAGGGGAGAAGGAAGGCCAGCAAATCCAGGGCACCCAGCAGCAAGGGGCAGGGGTGGGGGTGCAGTCTGCAGGAGGAGGGGAGGACAGGCTGGCCCCCAGYTGCCTCCCCCTGCAGGGCAGTGAGGCCCTTTCTGCCGGGTGCTCTGGAAAGTTCCGTACCCTCCAGCTGGATTGCCAAGCCATCCCTGGCCTCGTGGTCCCCAGTGGGACTGGACCTCAACCCCTCCTCCCCCAAGACCAGGGCTGTGAGCTCTGGGGGCAGAGACACAGGTGGCCTCCCACCCACGGGATCACCAGGTCAGATGGGTCCCTCACTGGAGGAGAGTGCTTTGCCCTCCTCGGTCAGCCTCCTGCTCTGCTCTGGGGAGTTCCCTGGTGGGGACAGGGGGCCTCCTTTGTGGCCAGGAAGTGCCACTAGTAAAGGCCACCAGACCTCCTCCACGGGGTGTCCTTCACTCTGAGAGGGAGGAGCAACCGTGAATGATTGACTTCAAGGATCAAAGTGAAGTTCCTCTCTCTGGAGCCAGGGCTTGGAGTTCCAGAGAGCCCCAGTCCCGAGAGCACGTTCTCATCACTGAGCAGGGAGCGGGGTGAGAGCTTCTGCTTCCAGACACAGTTTCTGGCCAGGGGCCCTGGGCCGGAGAAGACAGGCACGTGCACCCAGGTTTGCACCTCCTCTAGCAAATCAACTGACCACCCACAATGGGATCACCAGGCTCAGAGGCAGGGAGCTGTGGGTGCTTCCGTCCAGGCAGAGTGGGTCAGAGGGAGGTGACTACCTGTGGGGAGCGCTGCTGTGACCTCTGGCCCGTGTGAGGTCTTAGTGCTCAAGGACAACCGGCCAGTGTCACGCGGTCATTAGCTGAAGGGTCAAACTTCCTGGCATTTCACACCAGGTGTTCCCTGGACGCTGCCTACGGAACCAGGGGATGCGGTAGGTAGAGGGGATGGTGCATCTGGGCTGGGGCGTGGCCTGGGACAGGGCTCCTTCCAGCTGTCCTCTCAATTCCCTCTTAAGCACCGACAGCCCTGGCCTGGCTTTCCCACTGGCTGCCCCTTGGCTGGCTGAGCCTGCCCTGCTCCTCCAGGAGAGCTCTGTCCTGCCCAACAGAAGAGCTTTCCACGGGGACCCCCTGGTATGCTTGCAAGTTTGCTTGGGTCCATGAATTTCAGTGGAAATTCGGGGTCCACCTCTCCTCTGCTCTCAGCTACCTTCAGAGAAGGTCATAACAGTAGACCACAAGGTGTGAATATTTCCAACCCGCAGAACAGAATCCCAGCAGGACCCTCCCTGCAGGCCCATCGGCTGGGGCTGCCTCCCAGAGTTCTGGGTCCTGCACATCCCGGAGCAAAGCTTTCTAACACCCCCGTCCCCTCTGCCCCCTGAAGTRGCGTTCCAGCGAGACGGCTACTCTATCAGTGCCCACCCATGCAAGAGATTGGACTCACCGAAGCATAGAGCCGTCCCCTCTTGTTCATGGCCAGGTACCGCCCAGAGAAAAGCCCTTTGATGGCGACGACGCCCACCTCCACCGCGGTAATCTCCAGGATGCCTGGGAAAGTGGGGAAGGCCCATCATCGCTCCGCCTCCACAGAACCAGAGGAAGCTCTGTGCACCACCAGCTCAGGACGGTGAGGTCACCCCACACCCCACAGGGGGTGGGGGCTGGAGGTCCAGGGAGGGGAGAGTGTCAGCCTCCCAGAAGGGTAATTCAAGCCCTGGAGTGGGACAGGAAGGTTGGCACGGGTGGATAATGTAACCCCACCGCGGGGCCACCCAAGCTGAGTGGGCCATGGACCTGGGTGGGAGATGTCCCAGGCAGAGGGTCCTTGGATACAGGAAGTGAGGGGGAGAGCCAAATCTGGAGCTCACAGAGGGACGCTGGCTAGGGTTCACCCACCAGCCACTGCATGTCAGAAGTCAAGTCACCCTGGTGCCTGTCTCTCCAGACACTAAGAGAGCTTCCAGGGGTTAGGGTTGCAACAATAGTTCCCAAGTGGGGCCATGTCCCCAGCAGAGTTCCAGGGTAGCTGAGGCTACCTTCCACACCCTTTCCAGGGGCACCTCTCCAGGGCTAGTGCCTGCTGCCTGCATGGCCAGGACATCCCCAAAGCAGGACTAAGTTGAGGGTTGGCTCCCGGCATGTGCCACTGCAGGTCTTTCAAGTGTGSGGCACACTCATCAGGCTCCCCAGCGCCAGCCCAGGGACCAGCAAAGCTCAGTCTGGATGCCCGAGGAGACTGCTGAAAACGGGTACCCTCCTCTCCCTCTGGGCGCCCGCTGGGTTGCACCAGGAAGACTGGATGCTCTCAGATGTTGACTTAGACTGGATTTGGAGGGAACCTGCGCGGGGGTGTCTCTGCAAGAAGAGTCCTGCGCAGAGACCCCTGGCGACTGCGGTCCTCCCTGTGCGCTTAGATGGCGTCCTCCATAGACGCCCTCGCAGGGCTGCGGCTTTCCCCCCGGAGGAAGCTGTGGTTTTCCGCTACCACCTTGAACCGCGCAGCGGCTTCCTGCGCCCAGGGCAGGAGTGGAGCGCCCCGCGCCTAAACTGAGGATCTCAGCGGTCCTGGCACCCTCCCACGCTCCCCGCTGCGGTCCTTCCGGTCCGAGCTCYGCTCGCCCGCTCCCCTCCCAGCAGGCTGCTTAGACTCCCAGCTTTTGCTCTGCGCAAGAGGGCTCAGCACCGGTCGCAGGTCGGGGGCCAGAGGAGCCAAGCCACGAGCCTGGGGGACTCCCGCAGTGCGTGCAGTCCGACTTCTGGTCCTGGGTTCCGGGAGGGTGTATTTGTATCTCTACTTACCCCAGACCCTGGAGGACGCCCCCTGGCCCTCGGGGCCCGCACCCTCCGCTCCCACCCCAAAGAGGGGGCACCCACACTTCCTGCCATCCCGGGAGCAAGGGCTGAGGCCCAGGGGTGCAGATCCGAGCCCAGGGAAGACTGACGCAGCAGCCCAGGGACCTAGCTCTGCCAGTCGAGTGTCCTGCTCGGAAGCAGCGACTGGACGCAGCCACCTGGGCGGCCAAGAGCCTGGAGGGCAGAGGGGAACTTGTGTGCCCTGGGGTCGACAGGAGGTGGAGAAGTCGTCAAAATAATAAAGAGAATGATAAATGCCTTGTCGGGCTCCTGTTCTCCACCAATTCAAAGGGCTTAAACTTGTCAGAATTGCCAAGCGCAGCAGAGCGCAGAGCCCGAGTCGTCTACCACGTGCCCCCTCTGAGCTCCCCGCATCGCTGGCTCTTCGCCCCCACCCCCAGCTCTCCCCGGATCTCAGAGCCTCGCTTCTTTCCCCGGACGTGGCGGCGGATGTCWCGCGGCCGCTCTCTGGCAGGGGGCAGCGGGCACCGTCGGTGCGCCGTCCCTTCTCCCTTCTCCCGGGCGCAGCTTCCCACTCGGACCCCGCCGCGCCGGGCACTCACTGTAGGCGCTGTTCTCCAGGCTGCCGTTGACGCGGCCGCTCGGGTGCAGCTGAAGGTGGTACTTGGTGGCGCAGTAGAGCTTGCGGCGCCGGGGCGCCCCGCCGAGGTGCTCGTAGACTCCGCCGCGGCCGCCCGCATCGCGCCGCAGCCGCGCCCCGGGGCCCGCCGCGGGCCAGCCGGGCTCCAGCAGGCTGAGCAGCAGGAGCCAGATCAAGCCCATCGCGGCATCGCGCCCGCCCGGCGGCGGCTGCAGGCCAGCGCGGTGCCCATGGAAGGCGCGGCAGCCCGGCCGCGGAGAGGCGCTAGGAGACGGCTCCCGCGCCTGGCGGTGCCGACTCCGGCTCCGCGGGAAAGAGGGGTGGGGAGAGGGAAAGCGAGGGGGGTGATGGAGAGGGAGAGGGAGAGGGAGGAGGGAGAACCTTTAATTTTCACCCAGGAGCGGGGAAATTTCCGTTGCTGCGCAAAGCTCTGGAAGAAAAGACGGTTCGGCAACAAAAGGCCGACGTGGTCCCCAGGCGGAGGCGCGGGAGGGGCGGGAGCCCGGCGGGTGGGGAGCCCGGCGGGGCGCGGGGCTCGGCCCCGGGGGCCGCCTGCGCACACTCGCCCCGGCGCTCGCCGTCGAGCCGCGGCTCCGCTCGGCCTCGCGCCCCGCGCCGCTCACGCCCTCCCCGCTGCAAGGTCCCTGGCCGCCCCTCCCCCGCCCCCGCCCCCAGACCAATTATGCCTTGGAAAATTATAGACCCAGGCCTGGAGGCGGCCGCCCCAGGCCCTGTCACCCCCTCCCGCCCCCCATCAATCCCCCTGCACAATGGCACCGTGGCGATGACTGATGTCCGTGAAAACGACTTGCGGGGAAGTCGCTCTGGCAAACGCCCATTAAAGACGGCGCATAAAGACTGGGCCTGCGAGGGCGGCGGGCGGCGGAGGGAAGGTCTGCGCGTGGGGGACCCGGGGTTGGGTCTGCGTCCCCCGCTTCCTGCAGGAGCAGCAGCGCTGTCCTCTGCCGCCAGAGGCCAGCTCCAGGACCCCCCAGAAGTGGCTTATCTTGTAGCTCCCCAACTCGGCAGACCTCTGTGCACAGAGGAGGCTGGGACACTCTGGCGGGCCGTGGACCGGCTGGCAGTGTCCACCAGGGTCCTGAGAGGGGGCTGGGAGGGACAGAAGAGCCAGAGAAGGGGACACAGAGACAGAGCCCTAGAGAGTCAGGTAGAGACAGGATCAAGAGGTGGTGATCCTGAGAGCAGTTGCAGGGCACCCCAGGGAGAGCATGGAGAAACTGGGCGGGCCTATGAGGGGGTGGGAGGAGAGGTGGCCCAGGGCCAATCAGCATCCCCACCCTGCCCGGAGCAGCAGTGCCAACACCAGAGCATGGCACTCCAGACCCTAGAGGGGTCAGCCTGCATCTTAGGTTGCTGCTAGAGGGACCCCAGAAAGAGGGGCTTCCGGTAGTGCCCGGAAAGCCACATCTCCACGCCCTTATCTTGCTTCCCTGGTCTCTGTCCCCAGCGTCCCCAGCCACTGTGATACAGGCAAGCAGGCTCAAATGGGAGATTGGGGTGGGGTGCCCTCTGGGGTCCAGTGGTCAATCTAGGCCACAGTCTTGGCTCCAGGTTGACCAGGGCTTAGGTGAGCGAGGTGGTCTTGTCCCTTCTGTTTGGGTCAGGATTGGGGTCCCGACCCCAGGACACTCCCACAAGCTACRCACACCCACTGGCACATTGGCAACCACCATGACCCAACAGGCAGAGCAGTGTGCGCTCCAAGGGCCCACTCCAGTCTGCTCAGTGCCTGAGTGCCCAGGGGAGAGCACCCCAGGCTGTCCCTCATACCTGTCCTGTCCGGGGCCTGTGCAGCTCACCCAGCGCTAGCTCCAGAGCCTTTGGCCAGTCCAAAGGCCCTGCCACAGTTGCTGGAGCTTCAGCTCTTAGTGATAGAAATGGCTTTACAGTGGGCAGTCAGCCCTGGGGCCTGGCCAAAAGGAGGGCTTGCCCCGTGGGTTCCCCTGGGCTGACCTGCACTGCACTCTGGTCACTGGGACTTCCTGGGGGAGCACAGGAGGTTCACAGAAGTCTGCTCTGGAGTCAGTTGCCCCTCTGCATGGTGGGCAGGGGGCGGGGGGCATCGGTTCAGGAGAGGGCAGTGAAGGAAGGAGGGGAGACCGAGTCAAGTTCAAAGAGAAGTGAGAGAGACCATGGGGGCAGCMGGCTTCGGGGGGAACGGGGCTTCCCGTACAGCCCCGGTTTCCCCCTTTGTGGGTGCTCCTGGAAGACTGGAAAGGCCCAGAGAACCCCGGCGAGGCAGCCTAGCCTCTCCTGCTCCACACCTGGCTCCCCACAGTTCCCAGGGAGGCCCTGGTCCTGGTCTCCAGCCCTGCCCACTGCGGGCACCTCCCCTGGGAGGTGCTGGTCTGCTCCTCAGTGAGGCCTCGCCTCCTGGGCAGCCTGGGGCCCCAGGAAGGACCATGCTGAGGGTGAGAGGGTGACTGGCTGCTGCTTGCTGCCTGGTGGCCTTGGCCAGGCAGCACAGCCCGTCTGAGATGGCATGTGATGCTGCAGATCAGAACCCAACCCTCAGGAGACAGGCCCCTGCCGAGTTTCCCTGCCACGGRAACAGCGTCGGCTCAGGGCAGCCCCAAGGTGAGGACCATGCCTTGTCCCTGGGTCCCTGGAGGGGAGACTGCTCAGACAGCCCCGACAGCAGGTGCTGGCCCCGGAGTCTCCCGTGACCCTGGCTCTCCACGCGGTCCTCTCCTCAGTGACCTGAGCATCAGAGACCCTGGGCCACGTCCTGCTCTCTCATGGCCACACGTCTGGCCCTTCCGTGCACCCTCTGCACCTGAAGTTAGGAGTGGCGGAAAGCCCAGGCTCCTAGGCCCTGTCCCAGGCCAGCTGCGGCCCACCCGCAAGGAGCGTCCCCTCGCCGGCACCCGGCCCACTTGGCCCAGAGCCCACGGGCCCTCAACAYGCAGTGAGGCCTTCTTCTTCTCCATTGCCCATTCCCAGGCCGAAGGAGCCCCCTGAATCCCCCCTTCGGGCCTGGGTTGGCCGAGAGCATCCCTGGGCTGCCAAGCCCTGGTGCGGGCCCTGGCCGAGGGGGCCCTGGCCGCCTCCACAGCTTCCTGCAGGGTGGGGGTCTCTTGGGCAGGTCTCGMTGGCCTGGGCAGGCTGGGCCGAGACACCCACGCAGCCACCTCTGCCCACCCCTTCCGCGTGGAACCAGGTGGGGGGCACATTAATAGTGACCCTGTTAATTGCTTCCAAATGGTCAACTGTAGCCATTTGACTAATTGGTCTCTTCCAGCCCCTGACCTGGCCAGCCCCAGGCCTGGCCCACGCCCTCTTACCACCAGTCCAGGGCCTCTGCTGGGTCCTGCCCCCAGACCCTCCCAGCCCTCTCTGGTACCTGAGCCCAGGCCACCCACTTCCAGCCCCTTCCCCTGGACAGAGAGGAAGGAGGAGAGAGCCCAGGGGACAGTGTCCTGTGATGTGGTCCCAGCCACCAGGGACTGTCAGATGTGGTGCTGGCCCTAGGCCCCAAACTTGCTCTAATTACGCCCCCGAAGAGGAGTAGAAGAGAGACCCAGTCCTCTACGTGCTGGCTGGGGCCAGAGGGTCTCCTGAATCCTTGGAACTGGCCTGCCCAGCCCTGCCTGACAGACGAGAAGTGGAGGTCAGAGAGGTGAATTGACTAACCCAAGGTCACACAGGCAGAGGGGAGGCAAGCTGACTGGAATCCCCACGCTCCTCCCTCAGCCTAGGGCCCCTGGCTTCCCTCTTCCAGCAGGCTGTGGGGCCCAAGCCTAAGCATCACGTCGCCTCAGTATCCCCCTGGGCTTCTGGCAAGGGACGCGCYGCAGCAGGACAGGGGTGGTGCCCAGAGGCCAAATCTCCATGCCCATGGGGTAGTCCCTGCCGGTAGATCCAGTAGAGGCCAACGAGGTCCTGCCCGGGCCACACAGTCAGAGGGCCTTCTCACCAGCCTGGACGGGACAGCCCACTCTCCCTTCCCCTGGGAGCAGGCCCACGGGCCCAGGAGGCTCTCCCACTCTGTGGAGAGCAGACCCAGGCCCCCCGCAGCGCCAGGCCACTCCGCTCCTAAGAGGCAGAGCCGGGCCCGGGGCCTGCAGAGCCCAGCTGCTGGGGTGGGAGGGCTCCTGCT